GGCATGTGGTGCTGGGGGATTGAACCGTGGTCCCTGTGCTTTGCTAAGCTTGTTCTAAGTAGGTGCTTTAGACCACTGAGCCATCTCACCAGCCCCCAGTGGCAATATTTTTAATTTGAACAGATCTCTGACACCTCCAATTATAAAAAGTCACAAAGATGTGCATTGTGGATACCAACAGGGGGTACGTTTTCTGGATGTAAATGACCTCCAGCCACCCCTAACCACCTGTGAATACACTATGCCAGATTCCAGGACGCATTTCACTGGTAGTCATCATATTCATCTTATGTTGCTGTGTAACTCATTCCCACACACTTAGCAGCTAAGAAGATACATATTTATTATCTTAATTTTTGTTGGTCAAACACAGCTTACATGGACCTTTGGCTGATTGTCTCATAAGACCACAATCAGGGCATTGGGAGAAGCATGCTTTCATGGGGAAGCCCAACTAGAAAAGGGTCTGCTTCCAAGTTCATTTTGGTTGATGACAGAATTAATTTTCTTATGGATGCATGACAAAGGGCCTTGGTCTCTCTTTCTTTAATTTATTTTAAAGAGACTAGAAAACTAATGCATAAGACCTTAGAAACAATACACCATTTTTTTTAAAAAAGGAGGTGATAGATATTCAACAGTGGTTGTTATGTCACACATTGTGGTCTTCAATGCAGTTGCTCAGATTAACAGATATAAGCATGTAAAATTGGTCAAAGTAAAAATTTTAACCATTAAGCGCTACCTTTAAAAAACCATTAGAAATTACTAGTACAATTATCTTAGCTGTCCTTTGTATATATATATGATTCTCCCTTTCTTTTTCTCCTATCTTTTCTCCTTTCCATCATCCCAATTATGTATTTGCTAATCTCAGTTTCTTTCCCATTTACTGTATAGATTGTACCTTTCAGATTTTATTTACTCTTTCAGGTTCCTACACTAGGGAGACAATACAATGTTTGCACATGTGAGTCTAATTTCTTTCATTTACTAGTATAGCTCTAGTTACATCCATTTACCTATCAAAGCCTCAAGTTCATCTTTCTTTATAGCTGAGTAATAATCCATTGCATAAAAATACATCTTTCTTTCCAGTTCCTCTGTTGATGGGCATTTGGGTTGTTTTCAAGATTTGGCTATGACAAACCTTGCTGCTATAAAGATGGGTACACATATATCACTGTGCTATGATGTGTTCAGTTCTTCTGGAAGAATACCCAGGTCTCGGGTTAAAATTTCTTAAAGGCAGGGGATTGTATAAAGTTTGGATATAGAGTTTGTGGGGGATCTCTGAGAATTTTACCTGCCCTGTAAAGAGTGGAAATGAAGAGGTAAGGAAGATCTCAAGCCTTTGAAACCAAGTCATCAAGCAGCCACTTTCCTGCTCCTAAAAACTATTCAAGATGCTTTTTAGGACAAAGATGCAAAAGCCTGGAACCTGACCTAAGATGACTTTTGAGAAGCTGGTAGAATAGATCTGGGATGAGTAGATCTTGAGGGGAAAGATTGGTGCCTCATAGACCTAGATTATAAGCCACAAGTGCTCTCAACATCTGCAAGACAGACAAGAATTACTCGTGAGTTCCACCTGGGCCAGCATACAAGGTGCCGTGTGGTCCACCAAGACTCCTGGTTACAACCAACAGACTTCTTTTTCCCATACTCCAGACTGCCTAAATTGCTACAGTACACATTTATGGATAACAGATTTGAACATGCTCCTGTCTCCTTCTCTGAAGACCTTCAATAATGTTCATTCTCTGCAAACACATGGCACCATCATATTTCACTCTGTGTACATCAGGCAATGAGCCTTTGCTCAGTCTCTCTCTCTCTCTCTCTCTCTCTCTCTCTCTCTCTCTCTCTCTCTCCCTCTTTCCCTCCCTCCCTCTCCTTTTTCTCTCTTCCTCTCCTCCCCTTCCCTTTTTCTATCCTATTTCAGTCTTTCACGTGGCTAACAACACTTTTGTTAATTTTATGACTGCTAACAGATTTATTTTATAAACACATTTCTAATTCTCCTTGGGTTCCATGGGTTACTTATCAATGTAAAGAAGATATATTAGTTTCCTGTGGCTACTGTAACAAATTTCCATAAACTTAGTGACTTAAAATCATACACATTTATCTTCTTACAGTCCTGAAGATTGCAAGTCTGAAATCGGTTCCTCTGGGACCACATCAAGGTACCAGCACAACCATGGTCCCTACAGAAGCTGTGCAGAGTGGAGAATCCATTTAGTTGCCTTTTCCATTCTGAGCCTGCACTTCTGACAGTTCTGGGTTTATGGCTCTTTTTTCCATCTGCAAAGTTAGAGTCTTCAAATCTCTCAGCTGAGGTCTCTATGTTACCTTCTCTCTTCTTTGCTGTAAATCTTTCTCTACTTTCTTCCATACTCCTATAAAGATTCTTATGACTGCCTTTAGAGTGCACACATGTAATCCAGGATAATCTTTCCATCTCAAGATCCTTAACTAAATCCCATCAGTAAAGTCCCTTTTGCTTATAAGGTATCATTCATCAGCTGCAGAGGCTTGAACTTTGATGTCCTTGAGGATCATTATTCAACCTACCACGGAGCGATTTATGAGCCCTTCTCTGACCCTCTGGAGCAGTAAGAGTGTCTGAGAACAAAAATGTATTGATTGGCTATGAAGCAACAGTAATGCGGAGGACAGAATCTCCCAGGGCTTTCCCAGCTCTGCTTAAAACCCACAGAACACTTTTCCATTTGAAAAAGACATAAAGAGAAGAGGATGGGAGGCAAGGGAAAGGGAATTTTTTAAAAAAAATGAAAGAAGAAAAAAAAACAAAGCTTTTGCAAATGGGAAGTGGAACAAGAGTTGGAAGTAGCTGGAAGGAATGAGAGGAAAGGGATAAAAAAATTAAGATGTGTTATGTACAACACTTCCCTCCCATAAACACAATCATATGTACTGTAAATGTGTGCTAATGACAAATCAGGCTAAGACAAAACAAAAAATTTAAAGTCACAAAACAGATATGCTGTGCTTAGGAAGATCCACACAATTCCAGGTATGAAATCAGAAAAAAATCTAGATTGAAGATCCATAGACATTATCTAGCACCACCCTTCCACCTTAGAAAAGAAGGTATTGTAGTGCAGATGATAAAAATCGCTTCCTTAAGCAATTTTTATCATCTGCACTATATGAGGGAAGGCTGGCCAAATAGCTTGTGGATTAAAGCATCTGCAAGCAGGCACAGGAGCTGGTGGCTTGATCCCCAGGACTGCCATGCCAGACTCACCCTTGGGGTGCACTGAGATAGCGATTGAGACTGGGCATGGTGGTGTGCGCCTGCAATCCAAGCACTTGGGAGGGTGTAAACAGGGGGATCACTACAAGTCCAATCTAGTAGTGAGACCCTAACCATCCTGTACACCCTTTCCTAAAATACAAAAAAAAAATCATATGAAGAAGGGTTTAGGAGGTTTTGAGAAAAGAAATTCATCCCAGTCTCTTTCCATGACCCCATATTGCCTCTGCCCTGGGGTAATCAGAAAGTTTTCAGAATATCTATCCCACTAGACTAGAAGCTTCATGAAAGCATGAAAGAGGGGTTAGAAACACTTCTACTTAGGCTGAAAGTCGATATTTTAGACATTATAAGCCACACAATCTGTCTCACCCATTCAACTCTGCTACTGTCCCACCAAAGCAGCTACATATAGCTATAAACAGCTATGGCTGTGTTCCAATAAAACCTTACTGACATGAACAGGTGGTGGGCCAAATTTGATGTGGGGGCCATGATCTTTTTTGTGGCTCCTGGAAAAGATAGCACAAGCCAAAATTAATAACTAATTTCTGTAGGCTAAGGCATTGACTTGTATTGCCTCATTTAATCCTTACAACTTACATGGAATAAATATTCTGTTGTCCCCATTTTTTCCAACAGAATCATTAAAGTTTTTATTATGTTAAAGTAGAACTGGCTGCAAAACCTTCTATAAAGCCTACATCAATAGCAAATAAGTACAAAATCATTTCTATAATGAATCTTTGTAACTCACTGAAGTTCCACTCGCTACCCTTTTTTTTCACAAAAATACTTTTTATTTGAGGCAAAGAGAAGTTTGGCTAATAGGAATACAGTTGAAAGGAGTCAGAAAATTAGCTGTTAGTAACAATATTTTGACGTTGTAGAAGTTGCTTCTCTTTGGTCAGAAAAGGATACTCAGGTTGTACCTTCCCCAGGAGGACATGATTAGAGGCAAAGAAAAGACAGACACCTCATCTACTAATACTGCTCTTCACACCAGGCATCAGGATAACAGGCCTTCAGTGCTTTGTCTCTAGGTGGCTCCCCACTGCCAAGCGACATGGGCCACACTATACTTGCAAGGACAAATGAGGCAGGAGAAACAGGTGCAAGACACTGAGGAACAGCAAGCATCCACAGCCTCAAAACTGCATGGAAAGCGTAGTCCTTGTGGTTGGCACAGCTCACCAAGGCACAGGCACTCCAGTTCTTGTTATAGCCAAGTACGGTGGCCATGTCCTCCCTGCTCAGCTCAAAGTCAAAGACATGGAAGTTCTCAGCAATGCGGGCTAATGTCACAGATTTGGAGATCACTACCAAATTCCTCTGCATGGGGAAATGGATCAGCACCTGGGCAGTAGTTTTATTGTACTTGTTTGCAATTGCTTTACTCCTGAGATCTCCAGGATGGAAGGGTCTTCTGACTTAGCCCAGGGCCTGTTGGAAGAACTGAGGGGACTGTAAGCAGTCACCACAATGTCTTTAGACTGACAGTACTGGATCAGCTTCTCCTGAGTTAGGTATGGGTGGCATTCAATCTGGTTAACAGCTGGCTTATACTTTAAGCCAGACTTGCTGAAGAGCCTGATCTGAAGATGGTTGAAGTTGGAGATGCCAACTGCTTTCAATGGGAAATATTCAGCTCCATGCTTGAGGCCTGTGGGCCAATGGATAAGGTAGAGATCCAAGTAGTCCAGCTGCAGGTCAGTGAGAATCTTCTGGAAGGCTCCTTTCACCAGGCTCTTGTCATGGAATGTGCACTACAGCTTGCTGATGATGAAGAGCTCCTGGCACTTCACCACCCCCTCCTTGAGCTTCTCATGCAGGGCCACCCCCACCTCCTTCTCATTCTCATACACCGGGGCACAGTCAATGTGGCAGTGCCCAAGGTCAATCGCTACCTTCACGATCTCAGCCACCTGGCCTGGCGGTGACTGCCCCACAATGGGCATCTTGGAGCCGGTATAGAGCTCAATGTGGCTGGCCATGGCTGCTGTGTGGTACAGAGGGCTGCACACCACCTAACTGCCACAGTGCAGGCATGAGGCTTTAAAATCCCACTCACTATCCTTAAATTGTCTGACTAGCACTCTGAAATACAAACACTGAAATCTCAATAGTATGAAAGCCAAAGGTCACTCTTGGTCCAAAGGTCAAATTCCAACTGATTAGCAGAAATAAGAACAGAAGATCAATCAGACAAATATTGCAACATACAGCAGTACCCTAGAGTGATTCATTTGAACAATTAAGTCCTAGTCACATGGTAGGTGATTTAGTGATGTTGTGGTAGACCATTTAAAAATAGCTTTACATCAGCTAAGTCAGAATCAACCCAAAGGCCCTTCAAATGATGAGTGGATAAAGAAGTGTTATACATGTACTTGGTGGAACACTAGTCATAAGGAGGATAAACTGCCATTAGTTTCAATTAGCAATAATCACTCCTCAGTAAACCTCATTGGCTATGATACTGCCACTGTACAAAGATATACTGTCATTAGTGCAACACAGATGAACCTGGAAGAGATTACATGAAATAAGCCATGCACAAAAATACTGCTTGTTCAAAACAAAATGTTTTAACTGTTCCTTTCCATGAGCCACTAGAAACTAGCAGTAAAATTTTCTTAGATATCCTGCGTATGTTTTTTGCCTTCTTTTTCTCCTTGCTTTCATCCCAGATGTTCTTTCCTTTTAAGTAGTTTCTTTCCCTTTCCCTTTCTTTATCTTTAGATAGGTAAAAAAATATCTATTTTACCTTTCATATTTTACTCTTTCAGGTTTCTACACTCAGGAGACCAAATGATGTTTACACAAGCAAGTCTGACTTTAGCTGCATCCAGTTACATATAAAGGCCTCAAGTTTATTTTTCTTTATTTGCCTGCTTATATCTGGCAATCCAAACAACCACCCTGAAGACAACATGCAATACAACAACCACTGCCAAATCAACATCACGCTGGTTTTTGAAATTCTGCATCATGTCTGCTTATTATTTTCTACAAAATGGTAAAAGAAAAAACTTAGAAATGATGCAGAATTTCACTAAACAAATAATGGGTATTTGACAATGTCTACTATAGTACACAATGCTACCCTCAAACTAGTTGTCCCAAATACCAGATATAAACATGCAAAATTGATTTTTTAAAAAAGCTATAGCAAATTAAAGAGACGAAAAAAATTTAAGCATTAACTGCTCCTTTTAATAGATCAGCAGAAATCAGCACTGCAATCACCCAACCTATCCTGTGTATATACGAATATGTCTTTTTCCCTCTTTTTTTATCCTTTTCCTCATCCCAATTTTTCCTTCTCATTAAATAGATTCTTTGCTTTTCAGACTATTTATTGTATTGATTTATTTACACTTTCAGGTTCTTATACTAGTGAGACAATACTATGTTTACATCAGCAGATCTGATTCATCTCACTAACAAGTATGGTCTCTAGTTGCATTCATTTACCTACAAAAGCCTTGAGTCTATCTGGCTTTTGTTTCTTTATCTGTTTTTTTATAGCTGAGTAATACTCTTTTGTGTAAAACACCACATCTTTTTTATACATTCCTCAGTGGATGAGCATTTGGGTTGCTTCTAAGATTTAGCTATGACAAATTCAGCTTCTATAAACATAGGTGCACATAGATCACTGTGGTACCATGTTTTCAGTTCATTTGGAAAACTGCCTAGAAGGGGAATAGCTGGGTTGAATGAGACCTCCAGTGTAGAATTTTGAGGAATCTCCACACTGATTTCTACAGTGGTTGTACCAGTCTGCATTTCCACCAACACTGGAGAAGGAACCCTTTTTCCCCACCGACCCTCTAGCATTTTTTATTGGTTGATTTCTTCATGATAGTCATTCTTTCTAGGAAGAGATGGAATCTTGGTGTTATTTTAATTTGCAATTCTGGAGACCACTGATGTTGAAAATTTTCTCATATATGAATTTTCAATTTGTATTGCTTTATATGTGAAGCATACATTATCTCAGATGCACAATTTTTGAATTGGATCTTCAAATTTTGGAAGCCTGATATCGTTTTCATATTTTATATGTTCTAGATAGAAGTCCTTTGTCTGAGGACTCTTGTCCCCATTTTATTTTATTTTTTATTAATTTTATTGAAAAACAAATGGCAATGAGACAGTTTCAAAACAGGGTAGTAGGACAGTTAAAATAATTAATACATTTCATATTGTTGTCTTCATAGTACTTATTCATAGTACAAGATGGAGACATGCTATCCTGTCCAAACACTATTGCTACAAATCTTTCTTCTCATTGAATTAGGAGAAGGTAGCTGTATATCTATCCTAAATATTTTGTATACACAGATATAGATAGATATAGATATAGATATAGATATAGATAGATATAGATAGATATATTTCACCACAAAATGGTTCTTCATTTATATCGCCTTTTTTGTTTAGTTTTGTCAGAGATGGGTATTCCATTGCCATTTAAATATTGTAGGTGCATGAATTCAGCAAAATATTCCAATATGGTCCAGTAGTCCACAATATTAGTGAGTTATCCATAGGACTAGCAATGTCAGAAGTTGTTGACTTGAGCCTTTTACAGCTCAGCATATTAATATGGCTTTACATTTTATACCTCATTTTTATACTTTTCTGCTGGATGGGTAAGAATAAGTTAAAGCAAGATCTATATAACAAGAAAGGTGACTTTTGTATGTGACAAGGTCACTCAAATCCCCTCAGGATTTATCCTGAAATCCTGTACCAAACTTTGTAGATTCTTTGTCAGTGTCAGCCATGTGGATGAGACACAGCCATTGCTTGACCAATTTGCTCTCTGTGAAAGCCTGAGAGAATGTTTTCTCTCCGTGTAACTCTTCTTAGTAACACTCTACATCATTGATCATGTTCCTCTGTGGTCCCATAATCTCCTTCATCAGAAAATTTGGGACATCACTGAGTTACAGGATGTTACAGTACAGGTCCTCCTACATCCTAAATCCTCACTGACCTTGACCTCAAATATTGGCTGTCTTTTCAGTCCTTCATTTTCTCCAATTTTAGGTCTGCAAACTTAAGTTGTTAACCCTCTGGAATAGATTATTACCGCATAACAGAGGCAGTTGAGCTTAACTTCGCTATCTGTTTGAATATCAAATATTTTAGATATAACATACGAAAGGTATTTTCCATCAAGTATTGATATATTAAATTATAAATTGCTGCATAATGTGAGGAAAAAATAAAATATAAAAAATATTTAAAAATTTAAGTAGAAATAAACAATTACTTATTTTTACACAGAAATTTGGGAACCTGACTATATACAGCATTGTAAAAAGGAAGTCCTATGACATTTCTTTTCTTGTTTCTCATTTTCATTTATTACCTTTTTTTAAAAACAAACATTTACTTGAGAGATAGTATAGCGGTAACTCATGTGACATTAGAAACAGTATGTATTTAGAAGACAAGACGGACAGGCATTCCAAGCATAAATCTAGTATTATACATTGCTATCTTAGGTGCAGTTGATTAGTTCACAGGTATCAGCATATGTAGTTAGTCAGGGTGAGAACCCTACAAATTAACTGCTAGTTTCAAAAACCTGCTGAAGATTCTCAAGAGCATTTCCTTAACCATCTTATTCATATAAATATACGGTTTTGCTCCTCTCATGTTCCCTAGCTTTTCTCTTTGCCACCTCTTCATTATTTAATTCTTAAGTTATTGCTTCCCTTTTACTTGTGTTTTAACTTTTTATTTTTATTTCTTCTTTTGAGTTCTGACACTAGGGAGACTATACAATATTTACATATGTGGATCTGGTTTATTTCACTTATAAGTATACCGTCAAGTGACATCCACTGAAATAAAAAGGCTTCAAGTTTATCATTCTTTATAGTTGAGTAATACTCCATTGTATAAAAATATCACATTTTTTTCATCCATTTCCTCAGGTGATGGGCATCTTTGTTGTTTCCAAGATTTGGCTATCACACATGGTGCTTCTACAAACATAGGTACACATATATCACTATGATACGATGTTTTCAGTTCCTCTGAGAAAATTCCAGTAGGGTGATAGCTGGCTTGAATGGGATTTACAGTACTACTTTTTTAAAGAGACTACACACTAATTTCCATTACACTTGCACCAGTCTACATCCCCACCAACAGTGAGAAAGGGATCCTTTTTCCCCACAGCCTCTCCAACATTTGTTATTGGTTGATTTCTTTATGACAGCCATTCTTTCTGGGGTGAGATGGCATCTCAGTGTTTTAATTTGCATTTCATAGACCGCTAGTGATGTGAAGCATTTTTTCATATATTTATTATCTTCTAGAATTTCTTCCTCTGAGAAGTGTGTGTTCATCTCAGATGCCTATTTCTGGATTGGGTCTTTAAATTTTGGGGCCCTAATGTTTTTTAGTTCTTTGTATATTCTAGAGAGCAAACCTTTGTCTAAGTGCTTATTAGGTAAGATATTTTTTTTAATTTGTGGGTTGGCTTTTCATTTTGTTGGTAATTTCTTTTCATGTACAAAAACTTCTCAATAATAGGAGGTCACATTTGTTAATTCCTTCAAGTATTTCCTGAGCGATTTGATTTTTGTTCAAGAATATTTGCCTACTCCTATGTCTTTGAGAGTTCCTCCTACTTTCTTTTACAGGAGATTTAGTGTTTCTGTTTTAATATTTAGATCTTTGATCCATTTTGACCTTAGCTTAGTGCATGGTGATAGACCTCGGTCAAGTTTTAGTTTTTGGCATATAGAGAGCCAGCTTTTCTAGCACCATTTGTTCAGTAGGCTATCTTTGTTCCAATAAACATGTTTGGCCCCTTTGTCGAAGATAAGATGGCTGAGTATCTTTGTAGAGGCTTCTGCATCATATAATCTATCCCATTCATCCTCAGTTCTGTTTTGTTTTTGCCAAATACTATGCTGATTTTATCACAGTAGCTTTGTAGCATAACTTCAAATCAGGAACTGTAATGCCTCCTGCCTTGTCTTTGTTGCCCAGGATTGC